AGTTTCTGATTTCCACTGGCTTTTTTTGGCTATTATTTCGGAGTTGGCTACGGTCTACAGCGCTGCTTTTACAGCAGACTGAAGATGGCACCAAGCTTCTTCTGGATGAGTGATAGTCTTTTGTTCCGATAACTGCCTAGCCAACTTCTCACTGAGCACAGCTTTGGTGTTTTCGTTGTCCAGCAGCTCGGACCAGCGCGTGATCGCTGTCCAAATACGTACTCCAGAAGGAGTGGCAGTCTTCCACCGATCCTCCCCATCAATGACTAATAGCAATGTGGTGTATCTGTGTCCATCACTGAGTTGAGCTCGGTGGACGCCACATCAGACAGTGTCTCTCTTTATGTCTGGAATTTGTGCTAGCTAAAAAATAGGCGGTTATCTGAGCATAGTTGTAATAAGCGATCACCGTTATCTGTTCTTTCAGCCGGGATTCCGAAAGTGCCACCTAAGTCCCTTTCTGCCTCACTCAGTCTACCCACCTGTGCACTGAAATCAACTGCAACAACAACCACGTTTGAATGTTTCGCTTTCGAGAGGAGGCTAGACAGTTTACGGTAGAACTCGTTTTTCACTGCATCCGAACTGCATTCAGTGGGTGAGCAAGCAGAGATTACTCGAATCCTGTATACAGTTAACCAAACCGTAGCTCAAGGTTACACAGTTTTGGCGAGCGATGCTTGCTGTCAGATTTGGCCGAGTTCGGGCGTTGAAAGTTCCTACAAGAAATCGACAGCGGGCTCTTAAGAGACTAGGAATGAGGTTTTGATTGCTTCGGTTGTTGGTGATGGTTGGAGAGTGAGGGGTTGGTTAAGGCGCAGTAGGTCTAGTATTAGTACCAGGAGGTGAACACAAAGGAAACAATTGAGGAGAATAGGTTTTGTTTGAAGGGGTGTTGTGTATTACTGGGAGCGTACGGGTAGTTGACCACTCCCGGCTGCCCATACCATTGAAGGTTATTTCTTCTTAGGGAACCTCAAAGAGAAAAAGATTTGTGACCGCAGAGCTCATGGGACATCTGCTTGGCACCAGTCACCTAAAACATTTTGGCAATCTTGAGATTTTATTGTTTTGCTTCTGAATCCGACTATGGATCCCTTTTGCAAACATCGGCATGCCGGAAGAAGTAGAGGTGTGTCATTTTTCGGATCGACCTTTTCTAACCCCACCCCCTACTATTACCCACAAGAAAAGCACCATCAACGTGACATTGGTCATCCAAGGGAAATACGTCAGTGCTGTTACACCCACAGCCAGCAGTACGACCTCGCTGTCTGATCCCCATTACAGTGACGTAGTTAACACTACAACTAACTGCATTTCGTCTTACCACTATCGAACAGACAGTTCTGGCATGGTAGGACATCGAGAGAACAGAGAACAAGTGTTCCACCGGTACAGCTCACTGCATCATTCTGACATGCAAGCCTGATCATCACATCATGGTAGCAGCTATTGGTCTGGATACGGACTAGGGTGTTTGGGTACACAGCTTTCCACAGGGTGATGTACCTAACCAGCATTCGTTTCGGTGAGAGATATTGCCCTAAGATCTCTTGACTGAATGAGTTGAATGTAGACTTAAGGTGAAGAAATACAGCTAATGGTGTAAGCGTGACTGTCTTCCAATTGGTCAACAGTGAGTATTTGGTGCACACACGCAAACGGCTAACGACCAAGCCTGACTGGTCTATCAGGTTCTCTGTTCTCGAACACCACTCAGAAGTCTTGTATTCACAGAACCTAGAATCACAGGCATACGTAACACATATCTCAGTCTCCTCAGTTGTTGAAAGTTCACAAACTCACCAACTGACTTTCCTATCCTACCTAAAACTGACTTCTACATTTCTAACGCAGTGAAACCACAACACTAGATCAATGCTACGAGGACTACGGGGGTAAAACACCTGAGACCTACACGTGTCCTCTACCTTTAACGACCATGTTTCAAAACCGTATAGCAGAGGAGAGCGAACTACAGCGCAGTACACCATACCCTTCATAGATAATCGGATATCATGGAGGCACCATAAATGGTGACTTGGTAAAAGCCAAATGAGCCTTTTGTATCCGTGTAGAGATTTTGTCGACCACAGATCCACAAGGCCTGATCTCACTTCCCAGGCAAGTCAAGTGGTCAACACACTCAACCATTTCATTCCCTATTGTTTGTTAGGCACATCACCCCTAAAGATCAGTCTTGGAGCAACACTGCATTCACCTGGTGACAAACACATCCCAAACATTCTCACATTGACACTCAAGGTGTCCACAAACTGATGTACTTAACCGGCATTCCTTTCAACATGGGACACTGCCACAAAACTTCTCCGTCGACCAAGTTCAATGTTGTCTTTAGGTAGAGGAAAACAACTAGTATGGGTGCCTGTGTTCCACAACCTGACAGAGAGTGAGTAGACCCACTCACGATCAGGGCTGCAGCCTGCCTGATTTCTCAGGTTTGCCGTTCTCCAGCTCCACTCACATGTCTGGTCACAATAGACCCTACAATCAATCATAGGCACTATGCTCGTCAGCTACATTACTCTGTGGTCATCACAAGAGGATTTATCACCTTTCATCAAGACTCGGACAATCAGTGAGTAAGACCAGCCAAAGGGATTATATTTCACTCCCATAAAACAATTAACACCAGTTCATTCAACCAGTAATCCTCTACCATCACCCCAAAACACCCACAGTACTCGTCCATCTCGCCCTGCTGTCCTACCCCATTTCAGGTTAACTACCCCTCTGTCAACTTTGCAAGTCTTCGAGTCCTTTCTCGATGTCCTATTCAGCATCCATTTGGATAGCAGGTGACGGAATAGTAGCTAGAGGTCAATTCAACTACTCCATCCGTCGTTCCAGTTGTCTCCTTAAACTGTGGGTGGGGCACAGACTCATCCCTCTTGGCTATGGTATCAATAATCACTTACCTTCTCCCCACCCCCAAATTTCCTTGATAGGTCTAAATAACTGCTTTAAGTACCTATCACTGCTGCGTCTTCTACCTCTTTAGCCTTCACTGCCCACCACTGTTTATGGTCAATGCGTATGCCTCTTGTCAGTTTCATTAATATAAGAGTGAGACTTGATCACTCACTGGTAAAATGTAATTCCATTTTAGTTGATTTATTAGATATATCACACAGATGAACAGTATTGTTTACTGAAATACATTTCGGACCTAATTTTTCTGTACAGTAAACAACACAGTTCCTCTGTGATAAATCTAATAAGTTAACTAAAATGAAACTTTGTTAGTTTGCATTTTAGTTGCTCCCACTCCTTCACTCTTTCCGAACTGCAGTCACTAGGTGCATAAGTAGAGATTAAAAATAGTGGTCTACTTTGTTCCCATCAATCGAACAGCGTGTAGGCGACTGTCAACTGGGATCTAATTAAGTAGTACACTTTTTGCCTTAGCACTTAATGCCATGTCTTCACCTGCAAAACCCCGAGAACTCCCCCTGGGATCTCTAGAACCTTGAAGGGTGAATTGTGTGGATTCACCATATTAAGTTTAATGAATAACTGCATTAAGGTCGTGTTTGCGTATCTCACAAGCGCAGCACACATCAATGGTTTGAGACGCTAGGGTTATGTCTTGAGAAGTCTGTTGGCCGATTCGATGGAGAGTGTAACCACTGAAGGTTGCAATTTATAGTTTGGAGCAGTTTCTTAAAATCGGTGATGCAGTTTCGTGAACTCAGACCGTTGTCAATAGCTGTAGAGCTGGAAGAAATTTAAGATAATGTAGAAATATTGGCCGAGGGACGCAGAGGTAGACTAGAAGTTAAGGCTTTGAAAGGTGAGTAGTGATCCGTGGAAACTGATGGAATTATGGGAGCGTTTGACACTTCCCAGCTGCGCTTACTGTGGAGGGTAGGTTTTTCTTGAGGTAACTGAAAGAAACGTTAGTGCGTGATCGCAAAGAGCAAGAGACACCTGCTCAGAATTGGTCTCAAGGCCATTTTAGAAGTTTTACTATGCTTTCCTTGAATCCGACTTTGGATTCATATTGCCGGTACCACGAGAGCACAGGGTAGGGAGGAATGTGCGAACTGACCTTTCCAACCCACTCTTTCCATAGGAAAGACAGCACCGCCATGTACTACTTGTTTTTTGTGGGGAACACCACGTTCAGCCAGGAATACGGACATCGGACATCAATGATAAAGTAGCGACCTATATTGTAGAGGGAACTAGTCCGTCTAATAAACCTTTCAGGTGTGGTAGGACCTCAGTGGAAAGGCGTTTAACCAGCATAACCTTCCGGGTTATCATGATTTCTCGGCCTGACCACTACGCGAAGGTACCAACTATGGGTTAGGTCGTGCTTGAATGTCACATACACAAGCTTATATTAGGATGAGGTCTAATTTCTCTCTCATCGTGCTCTGTGGGAGATGCTATAGAATAAAGTAAACACCCTCTACGAAAGAGATTTAAACGGAAGCCGAAGAACCTATCAGTATGGTCTTTATCAACATTCACAGGGAACTACTAACCACTTCAATTTTTGTCCTGCCTATTTTATATAGTTAGCTGTCTTAACTTTTTATTCGTTACCTCTTTTTCGACTATAATCCACTCTACCTTCACACTAGAATCTAGACAAATAGGAACTATAAGACCCTGAACCCAATCAAAGACACCGTAGCCTTTCCATAAATGAGTTAAGCATATGCTTAACGTGGAACCAAAAAAGGACAAATTAGTCAGTAACCACCCAACCCAGAACTTAGATCAGGTAACTCCCCACCCACAGAAACAGTAGCACTTACTACAAAGAAACAAACCTCAAGACCTAGACGCAAGAGTTCAAATAATTTTGGAACACTTGTATCAAAATATTGGGTACTGAATGCACTTGTGCAGCACATAGTTTAAACTGACTGAGTATAATTTGTTTGCCCAAAACGAAATTAAATGCAGAAGTTTATATACATACATAGTCGCAACAGAAATAGTTAACACGTAAAATGGCTTACCCCAACACTACGAAGATGCGCGAAAACGAACAAGATCTCTTACCGCCAAAATTAAGATGGTGATCAATGTCCAGCAGAAAATGGACAATAGGGAAATCCAAGACAATTTCCCAGACACGAATGATGATATCATGAAAATTTAACGCTACCTTAGAAACTATAGAAGGCAAGTGTTCTCTCGTCTCCAGATCTGCAGACCCAACGTGAAAACTACCGACCGTTAGACTAGGCCTACTTCAGATCCAACATCCAACATAGTGTGAGTGGAGGAAACTTGCAGTTTTTGAGCTCTCGCTTCTAGGTCTTGAGGCTTGGTTCTTTTTGTTCGATCGTACTCCTTCGATGGTCGCAGAAGTCTTTGCGTTTTCCTGTTTATAGCTTTGGAGGTAGTATTTGTCTGTTTGAAGGTGTTTTATTTGCAAATTGTAGCACGGTTTGTTTAGGGGGAGGAACGGAGCTGCTGATAAGATCAATCAACCGTTTGCAATTCCTGCTGTTGTAGGCACCTGCAGGTAAGTGTTAAGCGTTACTTAAATAGTGATAGAAACGGGGTGAGTGGGGAATGAGGAAAAGAGAAGTGGAAAATACTTTTGAAAAGATAAATGTGACTGATAATAATATAGAGGAGAGGTGCGTCTTACTTGGGATACTAGGGTTGAGGAGTACAAGGGAAATACAGAGATGGAAGGGTGTATCATCAGTTGCCACTAACAAATGTTCGTGGTAAACCATTTGCGCTCACATACTCATCCAGTAGTCGTTTGAAGGAGTTGACTGATGTAGCAGTGGCCACTTCTTTCGGTAAACCGTTCCATAAGGCACATACTCTGTGAGAGAAGTCAGATCTTACTCTAGGCTTTGCCCTATGTTGGGTTATGCCAGTGGGCTCCCAATGGGATCGTCGGTTTTGGACCGATGTTGTCCTATTTGGGTGGTCCACTTGGTGAATGATCTAACAGGCTGTTATCAGATCACCTCGCTTCCTTCAGTGGCTTAGTGTGAACAAGTTGAGTTGTCTGGAGCGTTGCGCATACGTTTTGCCTGTTAGTCCGACAACCAACTTTGTCTCCCTCCTTTGTACCTTCTCGAGAGAATTTCCGTCTCTCTTTAGTAGTAGGGGGAGGCTGTCGTGTTAAACACCCCTGAGTGTGGTCTAACGCAAGTTTTGAATGCCATGAGGAATAACTCTGAGGTTAACGATCCAATTTGTCTTCTAAGAAAGTGCATAATGGCGTTCGCCTTTGCTGCCATTCCCTTATAAATACCAGTAGTATCCAGTGTGTCAGAATAGTTTGGTCCTCCACATTTTGATGTCGTCAGCGAATAGGAGGGTAGATGAGGACATTTTAGTGGGGAGGTCGTTTATGAATAGTATAAGCAGGAGCGGTCCAAGGATTGCTCCATGAGAAACTCCCGTTCTTGCTTTTCTCCAGGCTGATCGAATTCTGTTTGCTTTAGTGCAGTATTCTCTATCCTCTAGGTATGCTGTAAGCCATGCTAAGAGTGGTTTGGTGGGCATAATAAGGTGTGGGACGCTATCAAAAGCTTCGGCCAAGTCCGGGAAGATAACGTGAATCTGTTGTTTGTTGTCCTATCTAGTGGTCCAGTCACCCCGAGCGGTCATCAAGTTTGTGGCACATGACGTCCGGTTCTAAAACCATGCTGGATGGATTAAGTTGTTTCTGTTAAGGTAGTCCCAAACGACATCTGCAACCAGGCTTTCCAGTACCTTGGAAAGTATGGGGAGTAATCCCACTGGTCCGCAGTTACATGGGTTCTTTCAATCTCCTCCCTTCAAGATTGATGAGATGATGGCGCGTTTCCATTCTTTGGGGAGTTGACTTACTTCCAGGGAGTGTGTGAACAGGTTGCATATGGGTATACTTAGTACTTCGACACAGTTGCGTAGGACAACAGGTTTTATGTCGTCACAGCAGGCGGATTTCCATATTCTCAGTGTTGAAAGTTTCGCAAACACTTCGTTTGACGAAATGTTCATGTTCATCAGCTCTATACCGCAGTCTTGGGACTTCGTTACATTGCTAGGTGTTGACAGTAGATGTATTACTGGATTGAGTTGCTCGTCAAATCGACTGTTCAACATTTCCGCTATCTTGCTGCTGTTCAGGGGTTCTCTGGTTGGCCCTCTGATCAGGTTTAAGCCCTAGTTCGTCGGTTTGCATTGTGACATAAACTGATACAGACTCTTCCTATTGCAGCCCAACTGTTTAGCCAGCTTGCCTGGTATGTATACCAGTCATTACGAATTCTGATATTTTACACAAGTTTCGTAAGGTCTTATAGCTATGAAGGTCTGATTCTTTGCGTGATGTACGCCACCGGTACCATGCCTTCTTTCTCCTCTCTATTTATCTTGGGTTGAGCTAGTTACCCATGAGAGTTTGCGAGGCGGCTGTCTGGCTAATTTTGGAACGCTTTTCGGTAGCGCTCCAGATAATATCTTTAATCTGTATCCAGTGTTCGTCTGTCGATAGTGAGCTCCAGTCTTGTGGCCATGCAGCCTCCAGGAATTCGTAGTTCATGAGATGGTAGTCTGCTTTTCGGTAACAACACAACGCTTCAGGCTCAACTATTGGTAGTGTCTCCTTGGTTATCAGAGAGAATCTCACCAATGTGTGGTCGCTTTTACCTAGAGGGTTGAATACAGACATCGTCCACCAAAAGATCAGCGTCTATTAGAACGTAGTCGATTGGTGATCCTTCTCCATCTGGTCCCCGTCTAGTGTTTCCCCAACCTTCTCGATCAGTCCTGCTGCCGTGAATGTATTTCGGAGTTTGTTTTCGAAAGATTTATGCCCACATCTTACTTCACATCCCGGGATAATTGACGGTGTTCTGAAGTCTTCAGCGAGAACTACATGGTCATAGGCTGCCAGGGTGGTTGTTGAAATGACACTGAGCAACTGTGCCTCATGCTCTGTCGTACAAAGGGGAGGCCTATATACTACTCCTAGGTACTTGGTTTAGTCCATGGTGAAATAGCACCATAAGGAGTCTGGTAGTAAGCTGAACACACCATCAGTCGCTTCCTTGACTTTTAGGTGAGTGCTGATATAAATGGCAACTCCTCCACCTCCTTTGAACTGCCAGTCCTTTCGGAACAGGATCATGTTGGGCAAAGATATTTCCTCATTCACGGTGTCTGACGGCAGCCACGTCTCCGTAATCAGAACTATATCTACCCGCAGATTATGGCACGTTGTTTTTAGCCCAGCAGTTTACTCTTGAGACCTCTTACATTGCTGTAGAAACATGTCAAGGAGCTGCATTCTGGGCTTAGTGCTATATGGGAACCTGTTTGGAGGCTGGCATCGCAATGCATCGGATTCTGACTGCCAGTCCCCACTGAACTGTCAGGCCTTCATTTTTCGGTCCTTCCTGACATCCTGCTGCTGGTGTGGCGGTATTGTTTATTGTGCCTACAGGTAGTTCAATAGCTAGTTCTTTGTTGACCGGTATTGTTTGTAGTGTTCTCGCAGTAGCCTTTTATCTTCTGGTCTGGCAGTCCGTGGTTTACTTTCGCAGCATCGTGTAGCACCTCCAATTCGGTCTTTTACATGGTACCATGCTGTGAGAGCTTCTGTCAGTGATGCTTGGCAGTCAAAACATACAGCTAGCAATCTTGGTGAGGAAATACTCTGCAATTGCGTAGGTTTTGGTGACCTACCCATGCTGCTGGAAGGCAAATCTCCAAGTCCCATTTTTGCTGCTAACCACCTCCACTGCTCGACATCATGAAGGTAATTATCACACTTTGCGGATCCACCCGCCAGTTCGGGTTGTGGCTTTTGTGCAGATCACTGCGGGATCCTCTCTGCCTCTCTGGTGACCAAGTTTTGGGGCAGGAGCCTGCAACGTCTGGTCGGCGCGACAGCAGCCGTATGTTCTTCGACTGTTTTGCCATCATTGCTAATACCCTGAGCGGTAGCGGCTTGTCTTGGGGTGCTTTACTTCATCAGAAGAGCCTGCATAAGTCGGCCAAGGTGGTTTCTATTCCCAACTTTCCGCGGCAGTCATCCCGCTTCTCCCTATCAACCTGTTCTCTTTTTTCTGAGAGTGGGTCTGTTAGTGTAGGGACGTTGAAGAGAATGATGGAATCCGTTCTCTTGTCCCGTAAGTGTGGAATATCGGGTTCGATAGCCAGTGCTTTCGGTCAACCCTTACTTACTTACTTACTTACTTCGGTCCACTCGTTCTCAGAGCAACCTATTTCCTCAGGTTGTCCAGTCCCTTTGGATAGTCTGGGTAGCGGTGGTACAAGCAAGGACTTTTCTCGCGTCTCAATTGGAGTAGGAGCCAATTTCCTCCTGCCTTTAGTTGTGGCACTTTTGCATACCTGTGGATCTAGACCGCATTCTGAGGGAAGATTATTGGAGCTCGTTCTTTGTAACACTTTTGCCTGAACCAGGTTTTCCAGTTTGCCAGTGGTGATGGCCGGTGATCTCCGACACTTTGTGCGTATACACCATGTCTATTTACATGGGTACTTCCTTATAAAGCTGTAGTACTGCCCCGGTAAACCATTATCATAGCTACAGTGCACCCATCTGAGAAGGATGTTGCACTCAAAGGCCTTCTGAGCCTCCAACACCGATTCTTTACAGACGCCATAGTCGTCAGAGGTTTGTTCTTTGTTGACGACCGTGTGATTTACTCTCTATAAGGTGGTGTCAGACGTAGCGCGCTTCCCCATGCTTTATTTTCCACCAACGATGTGACCGCAGATGTGCTACTGTCACCCCGACTGCAGGGGTTTGCCAGTCCCAACAAATGTTGTGCCTAACGTGACGGTGCCATGGGGATCTTAGACGGTGATTATGCTGCTGTGCTCGTCTTTTCGGCACAGACTGGGTTCTGTCCACCTGCAGACCTCCTTATACGATTAAGGGCTTGCGATCCGGCGTTTTGTACCACTATGGTTAAGTGATGCATTATGCAAATAATGTAAATTACGAGGAGACTGAAGCGTGAAGTAGACAGGTTACCAACAGGAACTTGGTACTCGATTTCTCTCACTTTATCAGCAACTTCGACAGAATACCCCAAGTGCGCGCGTAAAGACCAAGAACGTATTTCTTGGTGAATAGTCCCCGAAGAGCGCCAAAAGCTATGACAGTTGAACGGTCCA